ACACACAAACATTGTATGTGAGGAGAAACAAATTAGAGGAGAAACAAATCACGTGCGGCTTGCAAGCCGCAACTTGCCCAAGCCTGATGTAAGCTATAAATTTCATGTGTTATGCGATTAACTGTTAAATCATTTTATGAGTCAAATTGGCTCACAACCGTAAAAATACGTATACCACATTCGATAATGCGAAATGAAGGGATCTGCGGGGGAGAGGAATCAACATTTACATATATTTCATTACGTAACTAAAAACCAACATGTTTTTAAAAAATAATATTTATTTTATATATATATAGTAATCAAAATTTTAATGAGTCAAATTGGCTCAGTCCGTAAATCTAGTGTTAACGGTAGGGAATTTAATTATATTTTAGAAACGTTTCAATGTCAGCTCTAAGAATCTGCTATCAAAAGTAGAGTATTCCATTTAAGAAATTAATAGTGACCTTCATATAACCGAAATAAAAGTTTGATGTATTTTAAAAATGAACTTCACTATTATTTGATTTTCTTCAAAAATTGCTTCTTTTTGTGACGAAAGCAATGAAGTGCAAATAGTTAAACGATTTTGAATAGTTAATTTAGACAATTCATGTGCTTTTTTTTTAATCTTTCCCATTGCGTGCAAACGACCAGAAATGGATGATTTATCAATATTTAATGCTTTAGCTAATTCTTGAGGCGTTTGAGCTAAGTTTTCACCTAACGTTTGAACTGAATGCCTGCAATTCGACAATCTGCAGTCTTTGAACTTTTTTGTTGACCTGAATGTTCTTTGTCTTTCAAATCAAAATCATCACTTTTGAATCGTCAAAATCAGTACTCATATGTTTTAACTAATGGAGCAGGCTTAGAATAAGTTTCTGAGATGAATCGATGAACTTCGGCAGCCGGTTTCTTCGAATCAAAACAGTAAAGTAATAAATGATGAAAATGCTCTTTATCACGTTCCATTTCCAATTACACTAAAAAGTGTAATTATATTTATAAATACACATGTCACGTGTTAAATTATTTGTAGAAATATCCAAGCTTTGAAATGACGCGCCAGCTTTTAAAATATCTCTGGTAGATTTGTTATATACGAAGTCTGTTCAAAAAGTATCGCGAATTTTGTGTTTTTTCAAAAATTATTTATTTATTCATGAATATCTATTTTGTCTCCTTCAAAGTAATCCCCATCAGATATTATACACTTGTGCCAACGTTTTTTCCAATCCTCGAAGCACTTCAAAAAATCATTTTTTGTGATCTTGTTCAGCTCCTCCTTCGATGCCGTCTTTATCTCCTCAATCGTAGCGTAGCGTCGTCCTTTCATGTGCCTCTTCAGTTTCGGGAACAAGAAAAAGTCACAGGGGGCCAGGTCTGGGGAATACGGTGGCTGCGGCATCATTAGTGTGTTGTTTTTGGCCAAAAATTCGCGCACAAGCAACGATATCTGAGCAGGGGCGTTGGTACGAATTTCGCGGCGACCCGCCTCATGCCCAAATCAGTAAAAATCGAATGGCACTAGCCAATCGATATGTTTAGGTCCTCAGCAACTTCTCTAACGGTGATTCGACGATTGGCCAATACTATTTTCTTCACTTCATCAATGTTTTCGTCTGTTGTTGACGTGCTCGGGCGTCCGGCACGCTCTTCGTCGTTCACATCTTCTCGGCCCTCTGAGAACATTTTGTACCACCGATAAACGTTGCTTCGGTCCAAGGTAGCTTCACCATATGCCACAGTCAACATTCGGAATGCGTCCGCGCACTTAATTTTGTTAGATTCTTTGATCCATTTTTTGGAATAAGCAAAAATCAAAGACGAGCCAAAACACGTCCAAGCAAAACAGCTGTCAAAGATAAACTGAATATTCAAAATGGCCGAACTTGTCGGCATAAGTGAGAGACATGAGTACCAACATAACGCCACAAAAAAATCGAAAATCGAATATACGTAACTCGCGGAAATTCAAAATTCGCGATACTTTTTGAACAGACCTCGTATATATATATATATTGTTCAGAATGGTCTAATCTACATATATGTCACAGCTGTTGTACTAATGATAGACACTAGTATATTAAATCTTGAACCTCGAACCTGCCAATAAGTACAACAGCTGTCATATATTTGTAGATTAAGCCACTCTGAACGAAAAAGTCCTTACTATTTTGCAAATAATACTCAAACTTTTGAGTTATTAATTAAAGAAGACCCCTACGTGGCTATTTTCAATACTTAATAATTCGAAATTTTGCATGTTGTTTATAAAATAGTACAAGACATTTTTATTCATTTCAATCCTTTTTACGTGTTCATAAAATTTGTGCATTGAATTGTGGGACACCTTGTATATATGTATTCCTTAACTCACATCTTCATTTGTCTTTTTATTGTATCTGTATGTAAATGTGAATGCACATGCTTGATTAGTGTGAGTCTCCTTGCCTTTCACGTTCGGAGTGCTTGATTAGCATGAGTCCCCTTGTCTGTATATATGTATACACATATACAGGGTGTCCCAGAACTCAATGCATAAATTTCATGAACATATAGAATGGATATGTTGTCCCGTTCTCGGTTCTCGTGATGTGCAAGTAGAACGTGTGAAACTGAGCAGAAAAGTCATGTATCATTTTGCAAAACTTGCAATAGTTAACGAGGAATTAATTATTCTGTCTGAGCTCATAAGCGCAAGAAGCAGTAGGCCGAACATATAAAAAGAAAAATGTGTTATATATACATATATATATATATAATGTGCGCAACAAAAACACGTAAGACTGTATTACATATTTTATCTCTATAATGCTAAAGACACTACACAGACTGCTTTCGTAAAATAATTGCGAGAAAAATGGCGCTTTTTCAGTGAGAAATTATACCGCCGAGATAGAGCTTATATAACAATTATATCAATAGGACAATATTCCGACCTGCAGGCAATCTCTCGCGCTGCTTATTACCGCGCTCCGCTCATTCCACATTTACGATGTTCCTGTTAACGATTGTTTCTTCGTGACACAGCATCCTCCTTGACGCTATTTGCGGAACTTTTACACGGCTTCCGCGGCATTAAGAGGGACTATGAGCATCTGCGAATCACCAGCGTAAGATTCCCCGTAAGAAAAGAAAAACGTTCAGCATGACCGGACAGCCAATAATAGTCTGTCAAAAGATTAGCATAGAGAGAAGGAGACGTTCTATAATAGTATGAAATTTCACGGTGAAACTTCTGGGCTCCGTCGTTAATCCGGCACGAACTCATGCGAAACGCGACGCGCTGAAAGTTTTGCAATTCGTTATCTTAAAACATGGCATGGCTCGCACCGCATCCTGCTGCAAGTCGTTTGGCGTGTAACCGATTCATTTCAATCGATTCGTCAGATTTATTTTAATTAAAATCAGCGGAAGAAGCAGCGGATAAAGTTGTTTCTGTATAATCGGCAAATGCGGCAGCGGTGAATCGTCGGATCGACACGGATTGATGAAATTTCTCTCTTTTCAGTCAGACATAATAATATGAAATGGAATATTGTGGTCAACGCCGGTTCAACACTATCGAAAAGAAATTTTCTTCGTTATTACGCTTATACGTCAGTAGTTCGGCAACTCGCGTCGGTTAAGAGGCTATATTTTAGTCTGAATCTCCAAAATCATCGATTTCTTTCTTTTGCACTTTTTAATGTTTAAGGTCTCAAAAGTAAATTTCTAGGAAATTTATTCGAAATACGTAAAAACAACGGAGCAATAGACATTTGTAGGAGGCGTGCCGCAAGGCAACTATAATTACCTTTCTATATAATAAACAATTATAAATAAATAAATCATCAAATTTTATAAATAAATTATAAATAAATTATTATGAATAAATTACCAGGTTTAGTTTTCTCGTATGCATTGTATATGTATTAGTTTAAGAAGATCATTGGAAATATCTGTTTTGAAAAAGCAACTCTAATGTAGGCCTCCGCACTGAGACGTTGTGCTGTTGTGCTGCATTAACACTTGAAATTGTTACATATTTAACCGTATGTGTTTTTAACAAAAATTTCCATTCGCTTTTGGAAATGTTGACGATAATTTGATAATTGGACGATAATTTGAACGTGATAATTTGATCGGAGACAGAAACGTTTATTTACATATAGGACGAACAATACATCGATTGGTCCGAGTGAAGTTTTTGTTTTTTGACGATATGTAATACTCGTTCTCGAACGCTTTCTTCACGGGAACAAAAAAGGTAAATGGCCATTTCTCTTACACATTACACAAAATGCGAAACCGGAATTACAATTGTGTAATATACTTAATGCTTAAGCGATAACGTCTAATGTCACATTTTTATATATATATTCACGTAACCATCCGATATTGGGGGGAGGGGGGGGGAATTTTACACTCAAGCAAAATTCATTCCCTCCAAACGAGGAAGCATTATACAAGATCGTTTTCTCAAGAATCTTGTTTTATAAATTTAACATGTAAATAAACGTAAAACATAAACGTACCGTTTCTTCCGCATATCTAATCAAGCGGAATTTGAGCAGAGTTCTTCCCACAATTCTAACGACGAATATTCTCCACTCCGAGCTTCTCCGTCGTACGAATGTAAACATCAATGCCGGGATCCACGATGAATTCGATCACGACGATTCCGACTGTAATTTGCATACTCAGCAGCAGGTTTTCATCGCGTGTGCTCGCTTCTCTCTTACATACAATTCCATTAGCCCGACAACGTGATTGTGTGTGCAGATAATTGAATGTTAAAAAGGTAAAAAAAGGGGGAAGAAGAATGTCTTTCGCTGAACGTTAGACGTGCGCCGACACACGTATGGACGAATTCACGTTGTCGCAACATGGGTCTAAAGGTTTTCAGTTTTCACTCCGTACGTGCCGCCCCACCATCCTTCATTATGGTACCGCGAGACGTTTCAAAACCATCGGTCGCGCTACAGACTACAGGTACGATACAGTTGATCCGTGGTCATCCAGCGGGAAAGAAGGATTCAGCCGAAGTCATTCTCACTCCGTCATACTTCATACATTCCCTTCCTCGTTCTCTCTCTTCCTCTTCTCCCTTTTCCCTCTTTCCAAGGGCAGATGCAACGACGGCAACGTCTCGAAGAAACTATGAACTTGAGAAAGTCGCGTTACCAGGGAAATATTTCGATGATCGCTTCGGAGACTCATATTCAAAGTTTCACGTAATTTCAACTCGGTTGAATCGAGAGAAGAAAACGGGATCGTCCAATTATCCGAGTGATAAAATTTAGGAGCGCGCTCTGAGTGTAAGTGGGGATCGCGTAACGTTCCTGACAATGTCACGAGTTTCCTGACAGAGAATCGATACTTCATTCGCGCGAGAATTATCCAACGCGTACCATATCGGACCGTTGACCAGACGCGAGGATCGACCCAGCCACAAGAGGAAAAATCGCGATCGATCCCGAACGATTCGTACGGACCTTCGACGATGTGGATCCATGTGCAGTGACCAATCTTCCTCATTGCTCGCGAGTACGCTTAGCGTGGACGTAAATCGTAAGTCTTTTCTGTGAACATTTTCGAGCTGAATATGCGGGGCGCGATGCGACTGCCATTCGTCGCTCTGCTTGTGCTTTCTTCGATCCACGCCGAGGAAGTATCGACCGATACTCCGGGCGGTGCCGCGCCGGAAGAATCGAATCTTCGTGTCAGAAGTCTGCCGGCGATCAACAATGTCGTCGAGAAAAATTGGACTAGCCTGTCGGAAACGCTGGATATTTTCAGTGCGCGTAACTTGGCGAGAAATTGGGCCGAGAATGGGTACACCGTCGGTGAGCAATGTGGCAAAGACATCACGACATACGTCGGAGCTTTGAAGAATCAGGAACTGTGGGCTCTTAAAGGTGAGTTTTTCGAGACCGCAACGGTTCGATTATATGAATCTAATTCATCGTAAATTGGTGTATTTTTATATCGAACTTAATTAAGCCTCGCTCCGACGTCTGCTATATCAGCGAATGCAGTTCCGCAAGCTCGCTATCGCAGTACGACCATAGTCGATCTTTTCTACTGCGGCGGTAATAACGTCGAGGATACTTCCGTGCGCGTATCAAATTTTACGTCCATGTACGACCAGTTTTAAAACCCTTTGGAGTAGCTGGGACTGTCCTTGTTTAATGACAAAAGCGAAAAGACGCATGCCAAAATTCTTTGCATTATATTTTCAAATGAAAAGATGTATCGACAAAATAACATTTGTGACAGCAAATTCAGCAAATTTGTGAAATTTATGGACACTTTTCTTTTATTCGAATAATCAATAAGTAGTCGTAAAATTAACATTGACAAAATCATGAGAAAGAAGTTAGAAATGAAGGTTTCATGTCAAATTAATTTTGCGACTATTTATTGATTAGTTCGAGTAAAAGAAAAATGTTCGTCCAATTTTACAAATGTGCTGAATCGATCACAAATGTCATTTTGCAGATATATCTTTTTACGTGAAAGTATAACACAAAAAATCTTGGCGTTTTCTCGCTTCTGACATTATTAAACAAGGCCAAATATAACGACTACTCTGGAGCCTTAAATTGATATTTTACCGACCGCGCCGATCTATATTTGATTTCAATACGATTTACTTCATTTTTTTTTATTTTCAATACGAACACCTTTTTCTCGGTGCTATACGGAACATAGCCGATGTCTAATGAGAGATTTTAACTTGTAAGAATTATTCAAAAACAAGTTTTATTGGACATCGGCTACACTCTAAACTACGTCGAGAAAAAAAAAGTGTTCAACATATTAAAACCAAGTATACAAAGTCCATTAACCCTACTTTAATACTCATAAGATAAATTGACCTGATTGAAAGATAAAAATTCTGTTGTTAAATCTGGAATTATTGCACATATATGAACATAGAATTCCTTTTTTAGAGCATATAAAATCATTTATTTCTTCAAATGCAAAATCAATGCACTTTCTTCCATTATCGCCCTTAAATTATATATTTTAAAAATTGCGACATGTTCCAAATGTATCTCATTTATATATTCTCAAAACAATAATATCTGTACATATCGGATAAGCACATTTACTTATATTTCAGTCAAGTCAATATCAGTTACTCGGCTTTCATAAATTCATTATACTGAATATCAAAAAACAAATACGAATGAAGGATTAACAAACGTCCGGGCAAGAAAACGTTAAAATAAGCAACAAATATTTTATATATTCTTCATACGCTATATGATTTCATTTTACAAGTAGCACAAGTTATCGCTTAGGTTTTTTTTCATAAAATGTAAATGAGGAAAAGAAAGGGAGGTCACCAAGCCGTTCTCGTTGAACAACGTTCTAATTAAGTGTAACTCTTTGAATGGTTTTTAATAGTCATATAACTTTTACATTACTCTTACGAAATAAAAATTATCTAACGGAAAGGTTACCGTTGCTGCCAAGCGCGTAGCTTGCATTATGACGAAACGGAGACACTAAAGGTTCATAATTTCATTTAATCAATACGATTGATGCACACCGATCATGCAACCGTAATGTTTCTCTTCTTGCGTCACAAACGTGTCGCGGGCGAATTTGAATTTACATAATCAATTACGTTTGTCGTTGCGTTGATATCTAATTTTTAAATCGATTAGATCACAGCTTTTCTTCGTATCCGATAACTTCGTACGCGCTGCGTATGTAACTTCCTATGCGCCGCGACTTTCTCCCTGATGCAGCTTTCTACGTTGCATTGTGCCGGGAATAATCGTGCTAAATCATTCGGTGAGACGCGAGCTGATCTTTTACCGATTGCGTCACGGATTGTAGAACGCCCAAAAAGGCTGTCCCTAAAGTCGCGAATCTGTGTCGTGATACCAACGACACAGATTCTTCGACGAAACTGACTGAGAATCGACTCGTCTCATTCTTAATGACAATTTCCACTGGATGTGACTCCCGTGTTAAAGAGTCACCGTATCAAAGAGTACGACGACGAGATGTCCCGCGACTCCCCTCGAGCGAAGATCGTTTGCGAACTCGACGAGATACATTTACCGTTAAAATTAGCATCGCAAATTCGAGGACACTAACCCGCCGCTACTGCTACTCCGCAGTACGGTGATCACAGGCGCAGAGCCGTTATCGAGTAGAAACAGAACATGTTCGTGAACCGGACCGTCGCGGGCGCATACGTTGCTACGAACGAAGCGTCCGCTTTCCGGACCCCCACGGTTTGCCCACTTTCGTCGGTGGAAGGTTTCACTTTTAGCGACACAAAGAGTCGTTATCGAACGCGCCGAGACCTCGAGAGAGCCGTTCGCGTCCTTCTCTCGCTTCCGAGGCTTCACTTTCCTCGGTCAATACCACTTTTCGCACGTTCGCTAAGCGAGCGCATTATGCACCGTGCGCGCGCGCCTTTCTCGAAGCGAAATGCGCTCATCTCGTAAACAGGAACACCTCCGAGACTTCTGGTCGCACAATTGTTCTCACTTCTGGATCCAGCGTAAGCGATAAAGAGATGTTTTGCGAGCGATTTTTATCAGCTTCTTCTTTATCCAGCACGAAAGATTACATTCGGTCACGTATTTCTTGCGGCAGAACTCGCGCTCCGTAAGAAATGCATACGTGTCTCGAGAAAGAATGTCAAGAGTATTTATTGTTGACACTTTTGTCATATCTGTCATCGAATTACCGATTCAAGTTGATTGCAAGTCCCGAGGAACGTGCGAAATTTCAATTCCACCGGTAAGCGTCCGTCAACGTAACTTAGTGTTATCAGATAAAACAAGAGATAATTCGTGCGACCAGGAATCACGTATCGCGCGGGCGTAACTTCACGTCGGCTCCGGTATCGTTAATCACGAGCGAAACGAACGATAAGATCAAACATTCATCCGTTTTCAAAAAATGGTTGAAAATAAGATCGCATGAATATCCAAGAGATATTCAACCTGTCCGTCGAGTTAAAATATTCCAACGTAATCGACACACGCGCAATTCTCCTTTTCTCCCTTTCTCTGTGCGAGTTTCGCCTACAGGAACTTACCTGGAAATCCGGCGCACCTGCTCGATTCGGGCAAGAGTCTCGCGCGGCTCAAGTGGGTCAGGGTTTACCTTGGCGCATTTTTCTTTTCTTTTCGCCATCCCGTAGCGAGATACAAGTGGTAATTTAGGTGGAGCGTAAAATCGCATCGCCGCGATTCGCAAAAATAGAAACGCGCGCGCGCGTTTCTCGCTCTTCATGCTTTCGCCGCTCGGGGCTTTATTATCCTCCCCGAAACTCTTTTCTCTTCTATCGTCGGCAATCATCGCGCTCGTAAAACAACGAACGCGCGTTCGAAGTCCCCGCCGGAAAAACACCTCAACGTCCACCTTTAATAACGTCCGCGCAAACTTTAACCGACACGGCCACTTTCACGCTCCACACGAGCCCGTGCATCACCGTTGCGGTATTCGCAAATTTCGTGGACTCGGCGCGCAAGAAAAGGTGAAAGGTGCCGGCTCTGAGCTGTCGTACCGAGGAAAGTCCGAGACGTTATCGTATGTATAATGATTCTTAAATAAGCCATTCATCTCGCACGTCGACGTGCGTTCGGGACTTCGTCTCGGACGCGTGATTCTCTCACGTGCTCCATCCGGTTCCGCTGTCAAGAAACATCGTTTCCTAGTTTCTACGATTACTAGTCGAAATGTGCTGAAACAGCGACAGCGACTTTCGTTTCGAGACGAGAGACACGCTCGGACGGGCAAGAGTCAAGCGGAAGAGCAGCGCGTTTGGTCGTTCGCAAACTGATTCTTTCACTTCAACCGGATATATTATCTCGGATGCGAAAGTGTGCGTCTTATATCGGAAGGAACATTCGTACATCTCGCGGAAGACGGAAGTGGATTTACGTTCACGACAGAAACGTTCAATTCCGGCTTACCGATATTCAAGTTTCTCGGTCACAGAAATTGTTTCGCGAATGATTGCAATGTCCGTTATTCGCGTGTCGTTGCATTCGTAAGTTAACTCACTGAGCGAAATTCGATGGAGCGCGAAAAAAGTTGTACAATCTCCGCGCTCGGATTGTCTCTTGTTCCTTCGCACCCTTGGAAAGCGTTAATCACAAGATGGGACACAATCTGTGTCCAGGTTACATAACGGATCCCTCCGACCGACTCCGAAGGACGCGCGAAAAAATTACGCACATCGAACACATACATATAGCACACGATACGCGCGTGTGATGCGCGCCTCACGCATGCATCTATGTTACTTATCCCCGTTTCATCATTCCTTCGGGCGAAATTATTACGCTTGCACGCGATAAAGGACGATTTGTATATTTCTTTATCCTCACGCGTGAATAAGGAGCGACACGCCAGCTTTAGATTAGAGTTAGAAAGTCGAAGACGGGGGCCGAATTGACATCGCTATTACCGAAATTACACTATTCACACCACGCGGAAGAGAATTACGAGGCGAAAAGATCGGGGATGAAATCGCGAGCTTTCGCTTTTGCGGAAGAGCGCTTCTGTTATATCGTCGGACGCGACGATTTATAATACCGTAACGTCACTGGTTACGCTCGAGCATTCGTATGATCCACTCCGTGTGCGATGATTTGCGTTCTTCAACGATGCGTGTATTACAATTACGTCAAGTTACGACGCATACAGAATACTATCCTTGCTCCCGTCGTGCCCGAGAGATTGCTTTTTATTTTCTACCAGTTGTCGCTGTTGAAGTTAAGCGCTTAAGCAATCGCCACTTTCGTACGAAATTAAAATCGAAAAGAGTCGGAGAAATTTCATTTTTCACAACTAGATCTTTGAACAGGTCTCACACAGGAGAGAGTTTCGCCGCGATTATTCCGGTATAGATACGGCTAGCGCCATTATTGAGTAA